TTTTTTTTCAAACTTTTATGATATCTTCAATTTTATATTTTATTCAAAAATAAAAATAAATTAATATAATTGTTTGGTAATTGTTTACAATGAAATTAGGGCGTTGAATGGTTAAGGGAGGCCCAAGATGCAAAATCATTCAAAGGATTTTAGAATCATTAAGAGCCAGATTTTTTTTTACCAAACAAAATTCACCTCTTAACGATTTAAATGTTGCCTCTTAATGAAACTATTAAGAGGTAAACAAATAGAGAAATATCAATTTACACGATCGACAACAATATTTCCTAAGTATTTTAACATAATCATAAATATAAATGGTTGATCGCAAACTATTTTTTTAATAATACTAATAAAAACTATTTTTAGGCCCAAAAATGAATCCAATAACAACCAGCCCACACAATAGGCCCACAAATAGAATGTGGACTGTGGTGGAGTGTGAACTGCACCAAATTTAGGGTGTATTTGGTACATTGGATAAGGACATGATAGATAAGGACAGAGATCTCTGTCTTATGTTTGACATGAATTTTATGTGGAATAGACATGAACAAAGTTGAACAAAGTAGAACAGACTTGTTCTACCCCTATCCTATGGAACATGGTGGAACAAGGTGGAACAGACTTATATTTTAACAATATAACCTCAAAAGAAAACTTAATTCATTTCTAAAACATCAAATAGGTCTTTTTTTATTACATTTTATTCATTCTTTAAATTTTATTTATTGTATTTTATGTTTTCTTAAACTTTCATTTTACTGTCCTTAAAATATTATTTTTATACGGTTTCTATATTTTTATTAATTTATGTAATTTATTATATATTAATAATAAAAACTAAGTAGAAAAGAGATAAAAATAAAAATAGAAAACTATAGAAACTTTTTATTTGGTGTCATTTTAATTGTTTTGACGAAAACTTTAAATGATATATTTTGTTATAAAATATAATTATTCTATTATAATTTAAACAATTACATAAATTAATTAAAATAAACAATTCATCAGGGGTAAATTGGTCATTTTACTTATTATGTTCTGTCCAGTTTGATCTTATCAAACGTTGAACAGATGTTTTGTTTTGTCTTGTCATGTCATGTCATGTCATGTTCTGTCTTGTCTGAACACCAAACACACCCTTAAGGACTATTTGGTTCGATTTTGAGATTAAAAATCATTTATTATTGCTAACTCATGAGTTTCTAATATTGGGATTAAAAACTCAAAATCACATATAGTCATATGCCATTGTGTTAGTTGTAACGATTAACGTCGTTTTTCGTACCGTCAGGTGCTAGCTGTAATTGATATTCGATACCTATATTACAAAAAAAACGTACATATGCATGTTAGAACGTATTAAATATCTAAGAAGTAAATGAACAAATTATAAATTATACCTAAATCGACCCTCGAACCATCGAGTGAACCGTTGAAGGCCACCACTTTACTTCTCTAAAATCTCACGCCCTTTGTCGTATTTTCAACAAATGAAGGTCGAAATGGCTTATGCTCTATTTTAGAGTCGTTCACGTACATAATGACACGTTAGAAATATGGTGTTGGACATTCATTCTTGAACGACCCCCTGGAGTCCGTATTAGCCCGTTAACGTTATTTACTTTCATATCTAATTTCATTATACGTTAAGATTTTTTTTTGAAGGTCGTACCACGCTCACGGACCGAAATACCAAACTTTGCATACAGAAAATCCATTAATTGAACGATAAGTTAAAACCGATATTTCTATTTCATCGATATCATTCTCGTTAATTACGGATTTGGTCCTTATAGTTTGGTGTTTTTAATGAAATTGTCCCTAAACTTCATTTATTATGAAATTGGAGTTGTCATTTGCATATTTGCAACGATTTCGTCCCTCAACCTGACGACCATCCAATTCCTCCTTCTACTTTACGGGCATTTTTGCATTTTTACCTTTTTGTCGTTTCATAAAAAAAATATGGACCAAGCAAAAAGTTAAAACAAAAAAAATGTCGAAAAGACGAAAATGCCCTTAACGATAGGACGGGAAACGGATGGACGCTCGAACCGTGACAAACGACGAGGGGTCGTGTTACATAACGAATATAGTTCAAAGTGAAAAAAAACACGAAATCCATAATCAACCAACTGATTCCGTCTTTTCCTTTTGATTTGAAGATTTCAAAGCGTAGGATTCTAATTATAAGGAGGCGACTTGCTCCACAGACCACACAAACCTGACTTAAACTACGGATCTTGATGTGAAATTTAGAAATGTAAGCATCTATATAAACTGCACTTCGATCATCCATGGAACTCATCAATTCAAACACAAATGGCTTCAATCATCAAGCTATCTGTCTTTCTCCTTCCATTGCTGTTTGCATCTCTGGTTCTTGCCCATACCAATCCATCGAATGATCCCAATTACATAACCGACGACGGCAATGAACCATGCACCCCCGGAGCCTCCCCCCCTGGCGATGGCGCAGGCCCTAATAAAGATTGCCCCAATAAGAACAAAGGCCAAGGAGGTGGAGGAG